ACTATGTCTCTGGTGAATCCTCTCACTGCCCCCACACATCTGGCCTACACCCCAGTTCTAGTATGCATCAATTAATAAAATAAATCTTTAAAAATATAAAAATTAAAAAAAAAAAAAACTCAAGGGGAAGTATACAAGATGATAAGCAATGAGGATTTCACTCCATCCCAAAAGCCTATGTGCAATTGTTCAGGTCTGGATATGGGGAATTATGTGGGCTCTGCCTGGATGGCCTAAGGGGAGAAATCTGCCCTCCCACTGCCAGCAAGCACCCTGCAGTCTCTGGAGGGAGTGCAGCCAAGGGCTCAGGATGCCTGCCAGCTTTGCTCTGGCACAAAATTGCCATCCAAGACCACACGCCTTCATTTGGAGTCCCCTTTATCTGGGTCTAAGACCTGTCTCCGGTGGAGCCTCTGCTGAGACCTGATGAGGGAGTACAGGAAGCTCAGGCACACTTAGCACTACTAACTCAGAGCATGTCCTTTCACAGCCCTGCTCCTGCCCCATGTCCTCTCACCCCACGTGGGTCCATAAACCTGAGCCTTTGTCAGGTCCCTGCAGGCAGTGAAACAATGCTCCCCTCCCCCCAGCCAGTGTGTTCCAAGAGGAAAAGTAGAACAGGAAGAAGCTGGGGCTCTCTCCCATACAGTATCTCGCTTATGTTCTCATGGTACGTGATTAAAGCTTTGACGTGTTATGTTCATTTTGGCTTATTGTCTTAATCGACTATTCACACACCTGGCAGCTCAGCTCCCTCCTGCTCAGCTCAGCTCCTGACAACTAAGGACAAGCTGGAAGAACAAAGGAAAAGCATCCGGGGGAATGATGCTCCCCTGCCCCCCCTTTGCAGCACAGTGTGATCTTTGGATGGAGCCATCATTTAGGGCCAGCGTACTCTTAGAAGACATTTTAGAGATGTTTAAATGCAATTTGGTCATTTAGAAATGAATATGGTCTGGACCTGAGTGTATAAATGACCTTAGGCCACAGTTTGGGGCAATGAGCAGGCTATAGTCCAAAAATATATTTTCCATAGAGCTACGTATTCTATAGATTTTGTCTGGAATAGACCAAATTTCAGAATTTGTTTCTTAGCTCTTTTTGTCATGAGATTTAGGGATATATCATCATCATCATGATATTGTAGACCCAAATGGCTGAAGAAAAAAGAAATCAGGATAACCTGAGAGCAGAAGTGTAAATGTATGTTTTGGTACATACATAGAAACATCAACATCATCAAGTTTATAAATGCAGCTGTATCAAAGAAGACGAAAGAGTTAAGAATGCATAAAACAAATCCTAGAAATCTTACTACAGAGTTGAGGCTACCAGCAGAGAGCCAGGGAGGGACAGAGTGCAGCAGCCTGCTGGACTACGGTGGAGGGCCATGGGCACGTGATAGTGGGAGTGCTGTGGTAACATGCATCTGAGAGGGGTGAGCCTATAAACCCAAATCCTAGATGGCTTTATAAGCCATATTAATACAGTAAAAAATGAAAAAAATAAGGTTATAAAAGAAAAATAGCTATCTACCATCATAGGCTTAAAACTCCCTAGACTAGGCCTCCTTGGTGGTGCAGGGGTTAAGTCTCAGCACTATGAAGCTATTACCAGTTACTGCAGCACGAGTTTGATCCCTGGCCAGGGAGCTACACACATGGCACAGCAGACCTCGCCTGTCTCCCCGCTGCCCCCCTCAGCAGTGTGTTTCAGTAGATCCACCTGTTCCATTCCCCACTTTGTCTGTGATGAATCTTCTCACTGTCCTGCATCTGGGCTACACTCCAGTTCTTGTATGCATAAATAAAAATAAATATTGTAAAAATAAGAATGTCTAGGTTTGGAGAGTAAGAGCAGTATGGAGGATCTAGTCTTTGGCTTCAAGTCAGTTTTACTTGGAGACTTCTAAGAGGACGCATGTAGGGAGGGAAGGAGAAAACACAGGTCCACCAGCTGAATGAATTCCTCAGTGAGAAGCAGAGACCTTCCCAAAAGAATGGTCAGAGTGTAGGCAGGATTGAGGACAAATAGGTCTGTGGTGATTTGCATTCACAGAGGAGACAATAAAGCTGAGAAAAGACAGATCTCTTCCCACCCAGGACAGCATTTTTTCCTACAGTGGGCATTGTGGTTAGTCTGTGAACCTAATTTCAGAGTCCAAAATGAAGTTGAAGTAAAAAAAAAAAAATAAGAAATGAAATGGTTCATCTTTAAGACTAGATCCTCTCTGAGACTCATCTCTGCATGTTAGAATATCTATTTCTATTTAGTTTCCATTTCTGCTGCTTGGTATCCCTCGGTTTTCTCTGGCTATGTATGAAACGTTAACAGTTCAAATTTTTCAAACGAGAAATACAAATACTGCTGGCATGAAGTGAAAATGTGTTCCCTAAAAACTGAAACACACTTTGCCCATCTGCCAGCTAAAGCTTCCTCTTTATGAACAAAAATCAAAACACAAAAACAAAAAAAAAAAAAATGAACAGAATAAAACACGAAGACTCCCCTAAGTATAACACCATTTCCTTTAGACCATAAAATTACAAAAGACCTCAGCAATAATTGCGAACAGCTCTTATTTATCCCTGCTTAAATGAAGGTCTCTTATAAATTGACAATGATGTAATTTTTCTTTTAACAATTATTACTAACATCACTCATAAGGAGCATACAAATATCTTGCACTCATTAGACTAAAGGATGAAAGTTACTGATTCCAAAAATCTGTTTTACCACCTAATGCAGTATTCATTTCTCCAATGTTAAATCTAGGCATATAATTTTTTTTATCCTAAGATAAAGATTTTGTTCTTCAGAAAACCATCTAAAGTATAATAAAATTACCTGCCAAATAGAGAAAAATAGAAATTTGTAAAAAGCTAATATCAAGGGAATGTTAAATCCTGTGCAATCAAATAAACAAACAAAAACAACTACACCTACACTTAGTAAGTAAACATCACAGTGACATATCTATATATTAATGTCACTAGAGGATTTGATGCAATATGTTCAATAAATTTCTTATACCTTGTTTTATTTTTGGTATAAATGAACTTCTATATATTCATCCCTCTTTAATCAGTTATCAAAAAAAAAAAACCTTATGTGTGTAAATGATACAAAAGTATAATAAAGTCATCAGATCAAAGGAATTGTACAAACTGAACATTGTGTAAAGTAATTTAAGTGTGTTAAATAAACATTATGGTTTCAAATATCACATAGTCTTAACCACCACTGAAAAGTATTTTGGCAAATTTTTAAGAGCATAGTTCTGACATAGCCTCTGAAATACTCAGTACTAGAATAATAGCTTAAAAGTAACACACAAGTTTCTTTCAATGACAAGTCACCAACGACATTATTGAAATTTTTGGCCTCATTAAAACATTGTCTCTACACTTCATAGGAAAATTTTCTTTCATGCAAATATTTCCTAAGACATTAACCTAGAGATACTATGTTACGGAAGACATAACAAAAGTTATCATCACTGATTTCCTTCTATATCGAATATATAAGTAATATATTCAATAAATTTGATCTTTGTTTTGAGTGCTAATTTGGCTTTAAATTTGTTTCATAATTCAATTGTGTTGTGAAAACACGTCTTTATGGTAATGAGAGAGTAGAAATTGTAAGACACAAGTGAAGAAAACAGAATCTTATGACTGATTCAGAAACCTTTACTTACCCACTTAAAATATAAATTGGATTTTTGATGTAGGTAATGTATTATTACAAATAAAAATTTCCAATTCTGAAGTGGTAAATCTAAGGTATCACTACATTATATAAAATAAAATCCTTCTGAAATTATGAATAAACTACTGAAATACAAACTGTTTCATTCACAAGAACTTTCCCAAATTACATATGTAGGATTTTTTTTTTTTTTTTGGGTGGGGAGTGATATGTCATAGTATAGTGAAATATTTTTTCACTGTCTGAAAAAAAAAATTCACTGTCTGAACAATTTCTGCTACATTAGAAAAGTCAACACAGAAGACATATCTGACTGCATTCTGGAGTGACATTCGAAATATGGAGCCATCAGGGGTACATGGTTCTGACCAAATGGGGGAGCTTAACTGGTGAGCAGAGATATCTGCACAAGATTTCCACACCTAAAGAAACCCTGTTCCTGAAGGGTTACTATTGAATACAATCTCCCAGAAAAAAATACCACCTCGAGTGCTTACATGTTTTTTTGTAACTCATAGACTGTCAAAGACACTGTAATCTAGGAGATAAAACAAGCCTTTAGTCTACCAGCAAAATGACTATCAAATTCCACCTCTTTGACAAACATAAATAGCACTTACCCCTGAATGACAGTGGAGTTCTGTGGAATAATAAGTGGGAAATCAATGTCTTCATTTAAATGACCAAACCTAGTCCTCAGGTCAGTTTACACAATTTTTTTTTTTATGCTTTTTCTCTTTTTGAATGTAAGAGTTTTGTAAAGTTACATTGCAGATGAAGTGAGTAAACAGTGCCTGATAACCTAACTGGATCCAGATTAAGTATCCTAATAATTGAACTTGGTGCTATTATTGGTGATAGTTCCATAGATTTTTAAAAATCATCAAAATTTAAGCAGCTTGCTTATAAAAGTTTCTCATTCTGTTATTTTTCTAATCATTTTGTTCATAATTTATTGATTATCCATGGTAACACTAGCATTGCTCCCAGGATCATCTTGTAATTACTTTACTTTCTCATAAGAAAACTGTCCTACTCCTGAATATATTCTGGCAAAGGTTGCCAAGACAAAGTAAACAATTCTCATTTTGTCCCTCACTAAACTTTTGTTTATACCAAATATTTATTCTATAATTCAGTGCTTCTATATCCAATTATTTCAAGGGCCTATAAGATTCTGCTTATTATTGCCCCTATACTGAATGCTTCTCTTAAATTATGTGGAAGCCACAACTGACATTATCAAGAGACAAGAAAACAACATTCTAATTTCATTAGAAAATACTTACAGCAATACACCTCTATTAGCGACCTTAATGCTTCATTCAGAATAAGTATCGCATGAGAAGTATATCCAGAGTTATTTTTAGCTCTTTTCTCTAATTTACATGATCACTGTATTCAAGTCTGAAAAATAAAAAAAAAGTTAAATGTCTTACTATTCAATACAACACCATAATTTCTATGTAATTTGTAAAACAATAAGAAAATGCTAGAATATTTTTCTAAACACAAGTTTCTGAATGCAGAATGACTATAACATGAAGAATTTTTAAAATGCAGTTTATAATAAAATGCAGTTTATATTTGACACCAAAAAAATGAGGTCCATCAAAATCATATTAAAATGTGCATTAAGCAGTTCCAAATATCCCTACTTTTATTCCTCAGTAAAATGAGAAATAAAATATTCAAAACTCTGATCTTAACCACATGTATTCTTATTAAAGATAATTATATGTTGGATACTATAAGAGGTAGGAAATAGATTATTATTTATATCTACCATTTAAGAGATCACCCCCCAAAAAAAAAAAAAACTGACTTAGAGTATTTGGTGAGTCAATAAATTAATTTTTAGTATTGAAGCAGTAATAGAGAAGTTAATGTATCCTTCTATATTTAATAAGTTATGCATATGCACGTGTATAACAAATATTATATATATTCAAATATTGTGAACATTTGGTCAAAGCAAATTATAAAAAAGTTGATATCACTTAAAATCAAACAACTGACATTAATGGAGAGGAATTACCATATTACAATTAAAGTTTATTAACTTCTTCAAGTCTGTTTTAATGGGAATAAATAATATCTACTAATAAAAGCTCCAAAAACATCAAGATACAGTTGCTTTAATGATTAAACCCATAAGCTAGCGAGCAAAACAAACATACAAAACCTTCTATACGTGTAAATGCCCACACATCCCAAAGTCAGTACTTGGTGGATTCATTTCATGTCAGCCCTGAAGATGGTCACAGAAAATAACAAAAGACACCCTCTGTTGTCCTTGTAATCTCATTCACTCTGAAGGGAGACAGTTTAAAGAAGAACTTGATAAAAGACAGGCTTCTCCAAAACAAAATCACTAGCTCTTAATCTAATTAGTAACTAATATCAGTCAGCAGTAGTTTTGACTGTTAACCTACTTCCTTCCTTCCTTTATTTATTTATTTAATTTTTGTGGGCCCCTCGCCAGTTGCCGGGGATCGAACCGACACTGCAGAGGGCCTCGCAACCCAGTGCTCAACCTCTGCGCCACCAGGGGAGGCCCTAACCTACTTCCTTTATTGGTACCTCAGCCTAATTTTTAATATCACCTTTGCCTCTGGTGCATGACACATTTTTCCTTCCTGATCATATAATTTTTCAGGCTTGCAGTTTGGGAATTTCAAATAATCAGTTTCTGTATTGATAATAATTCTACATTAAACTTTCAAGGTTAAGAGTTGATTGCAGATTCAGGAATTTTCTTCAGAAGCATTTTCAATTATAACTTAATTTTACTTTTTATCTGTTTGTTCACCTTTTTTCTGTACAAATTCTTTTAATGTATGTTAATTCTATTACAACTCATAAATCTCTCATATCATTTTTAGTAACAATTATATTTTTTAAATATTTATTTATTTATACACACAAGAACTGGGGTACAGGACAGAGGTGTGAGAGGTGAGAGGATTCACCAGAGACAGAGTAGGGAGCAGAATAGGTGGATCTACTGAAATACACTGCTGAGGGGCGCAGCGGGCGAGTCAGCAGAGATCTGCTGTGCCATGTGGGTAGCTCCCTGGCCGGGGATCAAACTCGTGCTGCAGTGGCTGTGGATAGCTTCATCTTAACCCCTTGCGCCAACACGGAGGCCCCTATTTTTTTTTTTTGGTAGACATTTCAAACATTATTTCATCACATCCTAGGCAATTATTGTAATAAAAAAACTATTTCTCTATTTCTAATAGTGTTAATCTAGACTTCTCTTGTACATCCTTTCACTAAAACCCTGAATTTCTTCATTATGCTCTCCCAATTTAGACATAATACTTTGCTTTAATAATTTTGAGAATGTAGCATTGTGATATCCATATCAAGAAGAGGTTCCAGATTCTCTGCCCCATTACTGAAGTGTAGAGCTGAACATACAGGAGAAGCTAAAAAGAACTAATAGAGGAGGCTGAAATATGAAGAAATAAAGACTTGGAGGAGGCACATGGAGTCCAGAGAATGTCAAGAAGCTACACTTGTTTCTCAGTCTTGGACATATTACAGGTACTTCGGGGACAAGGAAGGAGAGAGATTTGCATGTAACAGACCCATGGGGAGGCTGACAGTGGCAGCTTTCATCTTGACTTGTATTTTGATTTTGTTCTTTTCCTTCCAAACTTGCCTGCTTCCTTCTTCCTTTATTATGGTTCCCCAAAAGGTGCCTTAGACTTGTGACAAGCATTTGGGCCTCAGTAGCTCTGCTTTGGGCCAACCCTGTTTGGCTGGGCATTCACCCACCAAGGGGTGGGGTAACTTTGGCTGTTTAGTTGGGAATTATTTTAACTATATTATTTCTCTTCTCTCTGTTGCACCTATTTCTTTTCTACTGAAAGTCTCATGCACTGAGTATGCTTTGTATTTAAGCAGCAGATGACAGAACTGTTTTAGAGCAGGCAGGGCTGAGGATCTCAGGATGCCCCTCATTCTGTCTGTTAACAAGATTAGGAATTATCACTACTATTTCTTTTCTTTTTTTTTTTTTAAGTGAATTTGAATTTTTTTAAAAAGATTTATTTATTTATTTTATACAAGAACCAGGGTGCAGGCCAGATGTGCAGGAGGGTGAGAGGATTCACCAAAGACAGAGTGGGGAACAGAACAGGCAGACTGATGAAATACACTGCTGAGGGGAGCAGCGGGAACAACAGGAGAGGTCTGCCGCGCCATGGGGGACCCTCGCCGGTTGGCCAGGATTGAACTGGCGCTGCAGAGACTGCAGACAGTTTCACAGCACTGTGCTCCACCACCCGCGCCACCAGGGGAGGCCCATCACTACTCTTAAATTGCCCTGCTTTATAGGGTGAGTCCTTGAGTCTCTATTCTTGCTTCACCTACTCTTGTTTGTATTGTGAATGTGAGGTTTCCATCCATAATTGCCATAAGTTGTTTTTCAAACTGTTCAATGTAAAATTATCTTAAATGACTTGACTGGCAATGCTTAGTATTATTTGTTATTTATTATTTAATTTAGATTTATGGTGTCACATGAACAGGTGCAGCTTAATGTGGTGGAGTGATATTTTTCCCTGTTAGATGTTCTAAAATTAGTAACCCTACTTTATTAAGAAGTCCGTAATTTTTTGGAAAAGTATCTTTTCATAGATTGTAAATTTAGAAACCTCTCTTTTATAATATAGAATATTCACATGTAAGAGAGAGATCAGTTTTCCAGGACATATTTGCAAGCTGTCTGCTTGATATTTGGGCATAGCATATCATCTGCTTTTAACAATGTTCTCAATGGTATTTAAATTCCCAGAACATTCAACTAAAGCATTTACATTTTGGCTTCATTATATTTTGGTAAGCATGTCTGGGAATCCAGCCATCACTAAAAACACAAATAATGGTCAGAAAGGAACAATGCATTTGGACATTCAATTTGGGGTTCAATATGCAGAGGAGGCTGTCCATTCCCCCTGACCATCCTACTCACTGCTCACATGGTACCTTGAAAAGACACTTCAATCTTACACCCTGAAATCCAAGCCAGGAACCACTGAATATCTGACTGAGGGCCTCCCTCACGGCCTAGGAGTTGAGCTTCTGTGCTATCCCCACTGTGTTCTGAGTTCAATCCCTGGCCAGGGAGCTACTCACATGGCCCAGCAGACCTCTCCTATCTCCCTGCTGCTCCCCTCAGCAGTGTATTTCAGTCATTTTACCTATTCTGCGCCCCACTTTGGTGAGTCCTCTCACCCACTGCAACTCTGGCCTACACCCAATTCTTCTATGCATAAATAAATAAAGAAAATCTTGAAAGGAAATCTTGCTGAAACAGAACACAGGAGTCTGCACAAGAATCATAACAATGAGACAACAGAATAATGATAAGTAACATTTATTAATAGATCAACAGATGTCAGGCCAATACTTTACAGTGATTTTTCTTTCAGAGGCACATTCACCTATCACTTTCATTTTGGACACGGGGCGAGGATACTAAGCAATACCAAGTGATCTTCTCAAAGTCAAGTCCTGGTTAGGAAAGAGTCAAACCAGTTTCATAACAAAGCTAATTCCATTTTCTTTCCATTTAAATTATGCTATTTTGTGACTGAACTATTTATGGCAGAAAATGAGCAGTTTTTAAACCAACTGAGTAAGGAATGTCATGATGTTTAACACACCACAGGCAATATTTAATTTTTTTAAAAATATAATGCACAAAGTACAAAATACATGATGGAATTTTTTAAATGATAAAAAATGCTGAATAAACATGATAAAAATGGGATTCTTTGAAGTATCATATTCACATTAAATTAAATAATAAAGAAACGAAAGTCAGCATGCTAAGATGCTGAATTTCTGTGTTAAATCACTATTGGATATACTTAGGAAATAAAAATGAAATGTTTATTGGACTATCAGCAAAATAAGCATGGTTTAAATATAGCCATATTTGAAAGGTTTTCACTAACATGAGAAATAATATATATATTATATTTAAAAAATCCTGATTTTCCAAAAGTAAATGTTAAGGAAATTTAAAACAGAATTTAAACATACAAAAATATTTACACATTGAGCAGTTAAAATCAGTGTTTAAGCAAAATGATTCTAAACAATCCTTTATCATTCATGTTAAAATAAAATGAAAAATGAGTCCCTAATCAGCATTGCAACAACATACCAGGTAAATCCTATTTTGAACAGGAATTATTTTTAGATTGGGTTTATTTTTTCAAAGTATACCAGTTAATGGCATCTGCTGAGTTTATATGTGAACTGTGGATAAGCTGGCATAAATGAATTCTGAAAAGCTGAAATGATCATTTCAATTTGTACACAATCCATATACATTTTCATTATATTCTCTCACTTCAAAAAATTGACATACAATTTATTTTAAATGG